TGTCTGACATTTATCTACCACATTAATACGATGTGTCGCGTCCAAGAATTACGTCTCTTCCTCAAAGGTCAATGTCACACTATCATTTTGAAGTTTCACATTATCCCAATGAGAGATAATAGCTACACATATTCGTGTCCGGACTGTTACTTTGTCATGCATTGAATGATTTTAAAATAACTAGGCCTAAATGTCTGCCACATCAAGACGATGTGTAGCGTCCAAGAATTACGTCTCTACCTCAAAGGTCAAGGTCACACTATCAATTTGAAGTTTCACATTATCGCAATTAGAGAAAATAGGTACACATATTCGTGTCAGGACGGTACCTTTGTCATGCATTGAAAGATTTTAGAATTACTAGGCATAAAGGTCTACCACATCAAGATTATGTGTTGTGTCCAAGAATTACGTCCCTACCTCAAAGGTCAAGGTCACACTATCAATTTGAATTTCACATTATCGCAATTAGAGAAAATAGGTACACATATTCGTGTCAGGACGGTACCTTTGTCATGCATTGAATGATTTTAGAATTACTAGGCATAAAGGTCTACCACATCAAGAGTATGTGTTGTGTCCAAGAATTACGTCTGCCTGAAAGGTCAAGGTCACACTAACATTTTGAAGCTTCTCATTATCACAATTAGAATTAATAGGTACACAAAATTGTGTCCGGGCTGTAACTTTGTCATGCATGGAAGGATTTTAAATAACTTGGCATAAATGTTTATAACATCAAGAAGATGTGTCTCGTCCAAGAATCACGTCCCTACCTTAAAGGTCAAGGTCACACTTTCATTTTGAAGTTCACTTTATCACAATTAGAGTTAATAGGTACACACATTCGTGTCCGGGCTGTAAATTTGTCATGCATCGAAGGATTTTAAAAATATCTAGGCATGAATATCTACCACATCAAGACGATGTATCGCGACAAAGACCCATGTCCCTACCTTCAAGGTCAATGTCACACTTATAGTTTGAAGGTACTCGTTCTCTCAAGAAGGGTTTGAAGAGACACATTCATGTCCAGACTGTTTTTTTGTCATGCATGGAAGGATTTTAAAATAACTTGGCACAAATCTCTACCACATCAAGACAATGTGTCGTGGCTAAGGCTTATGTCCGTCTGTCCTTGTGTCCCCACTTACACAACAATCGTGTCCAGACTGTAACTTTGTCATGTATTTAGGGATTTTGAAATAATTTGGCACAAATGTCTATCTCATAACAGCATTTTGTCGCGTCCAGGGACTACGTCCCTTCTTCAAAGGTCAAGGTCACACTTATATTTTGAAGGTTCATGGTATCACAACTAGAGATTATTTTCCTTTTTTGTATATAGTAAAAACTTCAAAAATCCTCTTTAAAAAACTAAAATAGCTAGAGCTTAGATATTAAGCATTAAACATCTTCTAGTGGGTGTCTACACAGTCTGTTCAAATAAAAGCCCTGAGGTAAAAATTGGCCCCGCCCCAATGGGGTCATTGTTTTTTCCTTAATGTATATAGTAAAAACTTTAAAAAATCCTCTTTTAAAAAACCCAAAGAGCTAGAGCTATTTAGCATGAAACATTTTCTAATGGGTGTCTTCCATGTTTGTTCAAATAAGGGCCTTTGGATTAAAATTGGCCCCTGGGGGTCTTTGATTTTCCTTATATGTTTATAGTAAAAACTTCTTATAAAAAACTCAAAGAGCTAGAATTTAGATACTAGGCATGAAATATCATCTAGTGAGTGTCTACCATGTTTGTTCAAATAAAAACCCTGGGATCAAAATTGGCCCTTCCCGGGGGAGGGGGGGGTTCATTGTTTTTCCCAATATGTATATAGTAAAATCTTAAAAAATCTTATAAAAACCCCAAAGAGCTGGGCAGCGTTTTACTAACATTGCGTAAGTTTTTCCTTTAGTATTTTCATAACTTTACGCTTACATTTAAACTTACGTAAATCGTAATTCTGTTTCACAAAACTTTCGTAGATTTTTTCTTAAACTTACGTTAAAAAGTGCGTAACTTTTTAAGAATAAGTCAATAAGGAGGCGTTTTGGTAATATTTAATGACCGCAAAACATTTTTAAGATGGCTAAACTGGAATTTGGTAGTCCGTCTACGGACACTTAGGAATGTTGCTGAGCAATTTGTATTGTGCCAACGGCCATCAATCACACAGGGGTTTCTCTTGATTTTAATTAAATATATTTATAGAGTAGCAAGGAAAATTTCATATGATCCATCATTTTAGATGGTTATTTAGATGGTTTTTGTTTGAATGTGAAAAAACCTGTAATGTCCGCAAGTGAAAATGAGGATTTTTGTAATATAAAACACTTAATAACTGATTTAAAATACTTTGGGTCGTGGTCACCAACGACTTAGGGCGGTAAGGGGTACCAGTATATTTTTTTGGGAGGAAGATATTAATTAAAAGACTTTCCTCTGTCAGCTGATAATATTAATATAATTATTCGTACATGTTAATATAATTATTCGTATATGTTTTTTATCTACTAAAATTTCATTTCTAATTAGTCCGTAAAGCCATATTACCCTTTCCTTACTTAGACTTTGCTTTTCTAGAGGCGCTTTCACCATTAAAATATATAATCAGTCACGTCCGTCTCCAAACGTATCGATTTTCTTCTCTGCTTTCATTCAAAGATGATATCAGTCATACTAACCTAAGTTTTAAGTCAAATTTTAAGCGTATCTTTAAGTAAAAACTTAAGAAATTCTTACTTACGCAAATTTTTAGTGAAACGCCTTTACGTAAAAAAATCAGACATAAGGAAAAACTTACGCAAATCTTAGGCGTAAGTACGTTAGTTAAACGCTCCCCAGGAGCTAAAATATTTTTCACGAAACATCTTCTAATGGGATGTCTACCAAGTTTGTTAAAATTAAAACCCCTGGTTTAAACAGATTTGGAGATCTTGCAATTTCCAGGATATTTGGATAACAACCGTAGCCACTAAAGAGTTAACAAGATTTTCTATATTTAACTCCTGTGACCTTGTTTTTCATCAGAGATGACCCATGTTTGAACTCATTGGAGCTAACCCATTTCAGACTCAAACTCATTTAAGTAGACAAGCATCCTGGCCAAGTTTGATGACAATTGAGTAAAAAATGTGTCCACCAGAGTGTCAACAAGATTTTTCCATATTTTGGCATTGTGACCTAGTTTTTGACCCCAGGTGACCCTATTCATACTTGACATTGAAATCATCAAAACAAACTTGCAGACCAATGTCCAGGATATTTGGATTTTTGGAATAAAATATTTTCATGAAATTTGGTGTAAAGCAAGTTTTATTAAGACCTCACTTAAAATTAGGCCTATTAGGGTCAAGGCACTGTTATTAAAAATTGAAAATTGGTTTCCGGTCAGTAACTAGAGTTTGAAATGAAATATTTCAATGAAACTTGGTATATAGCAAGCTATTATGAATACCTTACTTGGGATGGCTTTTGAGCCCCATAGGATCAAGGTCACTGTTATTAAAAGTAGAAAATCAGTTTTCAGTCAATAACTAGAGTTTGGATTGAGATATTTCAAAGCAACATGGTATAGTTAGCTTAATGAAGATCTTGACAAGTATTGCTTTGGGCCCCTTAAGGTCAATGGCAGTTATTAAAAATAGAAAATCATTTTCAGGTCAATAACTAGAGTTGGGAAACAGATATATCAGTGAAACTTGGTGTAAAGTAAGCTTTGTGAAGATCTTTTTGGGATTGCTTTTGGGTCTCAATGCATTTAAGGCATTGTCTGGTAGACCAAATTGTTCAAATTATAGCCCTTGGGTCAAAATTGGCCCCAGCACGGGGGTCATTGATTTTGACTATGTACAAATAGTAAAAACTTAAAAAATCTGCTTGTCTGAAGGTTACAAGGGTTATAGCTTTGAATTTTTTCACCTTAATGCAATAACTGATTAACTGCTTTTAAATTAAGAAGGACTTATTCTGTTATTGCACTAAGGCGAGGATTTGTTATATAATATCATCTTAAGGTCCTCTACCAAAGTTGTTCAAATTATGCCCTGGTGTAAAAATTGACTCTGTCGCAGGGGTAATAGGTTTTCCTTTTATGTATATAGTAAAAACCTAAAAAACTTCTTCTCTGATTTGACAAAGGCTAGATGTTAGTTTTTTGGCATGTAACATTGCGTAGGGGACCTCTACCTAGGTTGTTCAAATTATAGCCCATTGGGTCAAAATTGGCCCGCCCAGGGTCATTGATTTTCATTATTGGCATATAAAACAGAAACTAAAACAAATGTTTTCTGAATAAGGGAAGCTAGAGCTTAGATATATTAGATGTTGGACCTGTATCAAGATTGTTTGAGTAAAAAATTTGCCCTGCACAAGTGGACCTATTTTCTTTTCTTTTGATGCAATGCAATTTTGATCATGTTCACAGTTTGACCGGACATATATTTTGAGATGTGACTATTTCTTGTCATTTTATGTACAACTATGAGATTTGAACCATTCGTGCAGTTTTCGTTGTTAAATTGAATTAGATTTTGATGATGTGACATACTTTCTGTCCTTTCATGTACAGTCATAAATTAAGGCCAGGTGAAATATGACCACCAAATTCACTAGACTCAACTACATTATGACAAAGTTCAATTGTATAGAAACAAACAAAAAAACTTTTCTGTTCCTACTCTACTATTTAGTGTTGTATTATATATGCGATGGCATAGTATTTTTCACAAATGCAGTCTTGTTTTAAAATTCAAAAGGACATAATTCCACTAAAAAATGAAGAATATTCACCATGGCACTTGAGGCAAAAGTTCTGTTAAACATCAAAGATGAAAACCTAGTTTCGTCACATACTGTGATGTTCCTTGTTGCCTGAAAAATAATAAAATATAACTTATTGGTAAAGGATATCAATTAAATAACGTTTTCTAATTCATTTGATAGTTTGTAATGAGAGATCCATATTGGCTTTTTTTCATGCTGCAAGGTACTTTTTTTACAGAGGAACAAGGATGGATTGATATATGCTGACTTGGCATTTAATGACCAGCCAAAGGGACAGAAAAAGCTTGTTATTCATGGCTTAGATGACATGACAGAATATGTTGAAGTGGATTTTACTAAAAGAGCAGACCCTTTGCCTGATAGTGATGAGGAAAATAAATAATAATACGGAGCTTTTATGTTTGAATGGTGAAGATTTAACTTTGTATAAACAATGTCTTCATTTTTTTCTGTATCATTGCCTCTCTACAAATTTTTGTCGGTATATTTATGCATGTTTTCTTTTGCAAAGATACTTTTAATAATGATTGCAAAATAGATTCGATTTAAAAGTGGCATATGCACTTATATTAATAATAAGGATGCTTTAAAGCTGTATGCTTCCCACTACAAGCTTTTTTTATTCATTCATATATTGTTTTTTTAGTAAAAGTTTTTATGTTAAAGCAGCACGCCTCCAGATTAATGCTTATTTTCATACAAATTTTGAATATGAAATTAAATTTATATTATTTATAGTAACCAAAAGGAATAATTTACACATTATCATTGTCATTTACAACTCCATTTCTTACACAAAAATGTCAAGTATGCAAAAAATGCCCATACTGCATTAGTAACGCAGTAGAAATATAGTTACGCATAATGATAAATTCACTATATATCGCTCATAACGTAATTATAACTTGAATCTTGAATCTTTCTACTTTGCATAAAATCTTAGTACGTTTGTCACAAGTTTGGTAAATGGAAATATTTTTGCTCATCTGGAGGCATGCTTCTTTAAATTAAGTGATTAAGTTAGTCATTTACATTCCACAGATTTTTCTTAAAATTTTCAAAATATGATAAAATATTTTTTTGGTACATGTATTAACAAGGTTTTTTCCCCTCACATTGATAGATTGGAGGGTATATTGTTTTTGTTTGTCAAAAAAGTAACTTCGAATGAAACAACTCAGATGCATGCACCTTTATGAGCTCTTCTGACTGGCCAACATAGAAGTCACAAGTCCAAAGTTCAAGGCTACCATGACTCCAAAAAGACAGTACTAATACTTGATAATAAAGTAAATGTGCTTCTATCCACAGCATTGTTACTAAAATTGTGTATGCACTGTCATGAGCTATGCTGACCAGACCAATTTAAAGGTTGCGGTCTTCTTGACCTCCAAAAAATAAATATTTACTGAGGCCATAAAACAAGCCTTTCCATCCATAGCCTTCAAACACAGACTTATGACCTTGATCTGCATTACCGGAAAGACCAACTCAGAAAATAATTGGTCAGGGTCATGTGGTCTCAAATAGCCAATTTTTACTTTGGCAATAAAATAAAATATGCATGCTTCCAATGAATTCCAACCTCACATGTTTATGCATCTTCATGTGCTATATCCATTGGACCAACTAAGAGATCAAAGGTGTAGGTCACCATAACCCATTACAGCAAATATTAAATTTGCAAATTAAAGTTCTTTCTTACTACAAGTGTATGAATTTCCTTTTTTTAATTATTAAAATTAATTATGTTTCCCAAGAAAATTGTATAAGGCATATTATGTCTCAAAATGCTATAATTATTTTTGTCTCAGAAACTCTCAATTATTGGTATTTTGTTACAGTTTCCAAAAAAAACAACAACAAAAAAAACAACTCATTTGTCACATAATTGAACTATCATTGCCTTTTTTGCTCTGTTGACGATTTGTATAGTTATAGTAAAGTACTTTTGATTTTTTTTATTTAAGTCAAAATACTACTTTGTTTCCTTTTTGCTACCTTTACGACACATAACTACACATTCAGCACTCGTGTCTTTAGCTGTTAAATATCTTAAATGCTGTAAATGAACTATTATTAACATTAAGATTATTTTATATGTTTGACATTTCTAAAGACTTTGATTAACATATAGTTTCAAGGCATAAAATACCTTTAAGTATTACACATAACAGAACTTTGAATCATTGAATATATTATTTTTTTGATGTACATATTAAGTTGTTTTTTCAACAGTTTATCTTTGTTTTAATCTGTCAAAGGAAGTAAAATTCCATATATTTTAGCTAAAATGCTAGTCCTACAATAATAGTTTAAATGACAAAGGAATTATATTTTATTGTTTTGTAACACCTGAGGTTTGCAAAAATCATCTTTTCTGTTTCGATATCATGTAACCTAAACTGTGATAGTGCAATGAAAAACCAAACAAAAATGATTTATCTTTATATAGTTTATTTTTTATATGCTATAATCAGAGAATGTTTACTTTGATAATTTAGCTTTACCCTGCTTGAAACAAAAGCATTTGCCACAAGTATAGGCCTGTAGTCTGACACAGCTGTATATACTATTGGCTTCTTGATATCCCCAAATTTATATTGAACTGTTTCCAAATAAGGAAATTTGACAAGTGCATTTTCATAATTCAGCAGGTTAAAGCTAATTTTTGTGCCATTTTTAACTCACCTGTCACAAAGTTACAAGGTGAGCTTTTGTGATCATAATTCGTCCAGAATCTGTCCGTTGTCCGTCTGTAAACATTTAACTTTAAAACAACATCTCCTCATAAACCACTAAGCCAATTTCATCTAAACTTCGCAGGAATGTTCCTTTGATGATAACCTTTAAAAATTGTTCGAAGAATTTAATTCTATGCAGAACTCAACCATGGAAACCGGAAGAAAAAACTAAAAATTATTCCTTTAAAAAACCCATAGAGCCTGAGCTTAGATTTTTGGCATGAAACATTTTCTAGTGAGTATCTACCACGTTTGTTTAAATAAAAGCCCTTGGGTCAAAAATGGCCCCGCCCCGGGGGTCATTGATTCTCCTTATATGTTTATAATAAAAATTTAAATAGTAAGCATGAAACATCTTGTAATGGGTGTTTACCAAGTTTGTTAAAATAAAAGCCCTAGGGTCATAATTGGCCCTGCCCTTTGTGTCATTGATTTTTCGTATATGTATGTATATTAAACATGAAACATCTTAAAATGGGTGTCTACCAAGTTTGTTCAAATAAAATGCCACCCTGCCCGTGGTGTCATTGATTTTCCTTATATGTATATGGTAAAAACTTAAAAAATCTTCTCTTAAAAAACCTAAAGAGCTAGAGCTTAGATATTAAGCATTAAACTTGTTCTAGTCAGCAAGTTGTTGCTACTTCGCTTTTAGCGAACTTCGGTTATAACGAACGATATTTTAATGTCCCATTGAGTTCGTTATAACCGGAGTCGACTATATTTTCAAATGAGTGTCTATCAAGTTTGTTTAAATAAAAGTCCGTAGGTCAAAATTTGACCTCCCCGGGGGAAATTGATTTTTGCTTATATGTACACATCTTTTGAAATTGTTGTTTTCCCTAAGCAATAGCAACCAGTATTGTTTTTACACATGTTCTATTACAGATACTAATTTGAACTTTGTATATGAACTTTGTGTGTTTAAGATTAAGATTTTACATCTGCTTTTGTTTATAGTTTAAATATCACGGGGGAGAATCACGCCGTTCGTTACCCAAACAAACAAGATGGCGGATGCAGCCAAAAAGTAGGTTTTTCTCTTTTTTCTCTGAAATTCGTGATGTTCTAATGTAAAAGTACATATAACAACCTTCTCCACAATTTTCCTGGCACACAGGTTTTTATTTCATGATGTTTAGTCTCGCAATTCATCTGAAATGCGCGTCACCAGATTCGAAGCGAGAGAATTTTCCACCGGCTTGATCGTGGTAACGTACGGCTTTATCTCCAAAATTCACTGTTTCGTTTACATATATGTATATTAACTGAAACCACTGACTTTAAAAAGTTGTAATATTTTGTCAAGTAAGCAATCATGCCCATTCTGGCTAGATTTACTGCTGTAAATATTAATATCGGGGCATTTTCTGGAAATGATAACGTATGGCGCACAAAATATCAATGATAACGTACTGCGCATTTTTTTCTGATTATTTGATTTTCTATTTAATAGAAAAGTTATGTTTGTAAGACATAAGAGGATGTGAAGAACCAAATTAAGAAACTGAAATAAATGATATTAGCGTCCAGCTTTATTTGTCATCCAATGAAATTTCTTAAAAATTCTTTGTGTAAATTTTCTTAGAAGAACAAAAGCCGAAGATATATCAAAGTCCGTTCATAGCAGCCTTCTATTTTTCATAGTGCTTCATAGAACCGCGTTTGTGCAAATGGACAGGTAAAGTTAAAATTAATGAAGCCAAAATAAAGCTTGACACTAAGTATGTTTGTATTCATCCGTAGCTGTTGTACAGAAATAAGAAATATTCTCCGATCGCTATCGCTCCCTTCGAAGTTTCTAATTGCTGTTGAACAACACGGATGAACACTATAATATACTTTGTACACTAGTTTAAGAGTAGCGCAATAATTTTCAAAACCGTTCTTTCATAAAGATAATGACGTCATCTAAGCGCATGAGCGGTCTGGCATTAAAGGTTTCAGACGGGTTTTCCGGCATGGATAAAAAAAACATCGAAATCCAAATCCGATTTGAAACTTTATATTTAACACTAGAAATTAATAAGCAAATTCCAATGTCACTCTTTTATTGCTGATACCTGCAATACTTTTTTAAAGAAATTATTGTTTTTGTTAGGGCATTTGTGGGGAAAAAACGCCAGAATATGATATGTAATTGTTTTGATCAAATTATGACGTTCCCTTCATTTACAATTATGAAATCAGCAATTGATGCGAGTGGACCTTCATTTTTTTTTTTTTTGGGTCGTCAGACGAAACAAATAATGGTAGCGAAATTTTAGACTCTAATGCTGTTAATTGCAAATGCCGAAAGTAGTCCGCTTTTTTGAAGCGGTTACTTCCCTTTATATGTAACACTAAGGCCGAAAAATTCAGGGGAGATCACTGTCACTGCGTAAATATGGTCACATGACAGGCGCATTAATTTTCAAGCAAAATAATTCCCGAATGGTCGAAGATTTCTAATATTGTTTTATTTTTTATAGATATACATGCTTATAGTAAGCGCCATGATTATTTACACAAGTGTTAAACAACAGTTAGCGTCATTACAAACCCTAATTTAGAATAATATGCTTTTCTTCAGGATGTTAACATATAAATTCACCGTGGCCGAGGGGTTTGCGCGCTCGCTAAGGAAGCGAGAGGTCTTGATTTCAAATCCCAGTTAAAGCAACTCATTTTTTTTTCAAATTGGATTGAATATCATTGTTGCAATTATTCTTATAGCCAATCTACTACAATTAAAACGCTGGAAAGCAATGGTGGCACTATACGAAAACAAATTGTTTAATAATCTCACAACCTTCACCTTTCTGACATTCTGAGACCCAAACAAATTCAGCGCCTTCTGTGCTTTGATTTAGGATATGTGAATAAACATATGGTAATTGCGTTTATGTATTAAAAATCGATTAATATACAACAATTTGCATTAATGGTTCATGTATATAATGTATGTTTTTGTATGTATGTGTATGTGTGTATGTATATGTATATACAAGAGACCTATAAGTTAGTGGTTTAAAGATCAATTTGATATGAAAATGTTCATTATGTAACTATTTAAGAACATATTCTCAAAGAGAAACTATACACGTGTGTTCTAATTGGTATATTAACAACGGATATCTATTATGCCACCAGCTAGAAATATATTTATATCCGATGGTACAGCATTATTCAATTATGACCAACATTTTTTTTCAGATATCTATCATTTTCTACATAAAAATAATTAATTATCAGCTGATTGGACAAATGGAAATCCACCAAGTAGTAAAATGCGCCGTACATTATCATTGATATTTTGTGCGCCACACGTTATCATTTCCAGAAAATGCCCGATATTAATATTTACAGCAGTTAATCTAGCCAGAATGGGCATGATTGCTTACTTGACAACATATTACAACTTTTTAAAGTCAGTGGTTTCAGTTAATATACATATATGTAAAAAGAAACAGTGAATTTTTTAGAGAAAAAGCCGTACGTTACCACGATCAAACCGGTGGAAAATTCTCTCGCTTCGAATCTGGTGACGCGCATTTCAGATGAAGTACGGGACGAAACATCATGAAATAAAATCCTGTGTGCCCCTAGAACATCACAAATTTCAGAGAAAAAAGAGAAAAACCTACTTTTTGGCTGCATCCGCCATCTTGTTTGTTTGGGTAACGAACGGCGTGATTCTCCCCCTTGAATATTACCTGTCCCTTGTCATGGAGAGTTTGTATATTCAGGTCAGCGATTTCAGGGCCATCATGCCCCTCTTGTTTGTTATTTATGCATTTTATTAATTGTCTTAATGTTTTATTTATGCTATATTTATGAAAATCAAGACGTTCAATTTGCAAACAATCGTAGCTTTGATAAAACTTTGAACACCTTGATCATACAATTCATGAAATTTGTGAATCATTACCGCATGCATTTTCCAGACAATAGGCCACACTATGTAAGGATTGTGTCACTCATTCAGGGATCACTTCTTTATCGTCTGTCTGTCAAGACTACTCCTCAAAACTAGTGGTACAATTTCCAAACTTAACAGGAATGATCAGTACCAATTATAGTAGGGCATATTATTAGCATTTTCCCGATCAATGAATTTTGTGCTTCCCAAAGGATGAGCATAAAGTCGCCGCTTTGTCTGTCCATCTGGGTAACTCAGTAACAACATGAGGTATCAATATGAAACTTTGTAGGTAGATAAATCTCATTGGGTAGATGTGAGTGCCCAAGAACCGTACCTCTGTCTTGCCTAATTTTGGAGTAATTGCCCTTTGTTCATTGTTATACTTTGAACTTTGTCCGGGACATAACTCTGAAACTAAATGAGATATCATCATGAAACTTTGTAGGTAGATAGATCTCATTGGGTAGATGAGCAGTGCAAAGAACAGTAACTCTTTCTGTAGTTTTGAAATTATTGCACTTTGAACTTTGTCCAGGACATAACTCTGAAACTACAAGAGGTATACTTGCCTTTGTCCAAAACCTATTCTGGGAGCATCACCTGGTTCACCCGGTTCTTTTTGTCAGAGTGATTGAATGCTTTTTGTGCCTCCAATTTCTGGAGATGGAGGCAATTAGATTTCCCTTGTCCATCCTTCCACCAGTCTGTTCTCATTTTGTGTCGCACGTAGCTCTAAAAGTATTTGACCTAGAGTCATGAAACTTCACAGGAAAGTTGCTCAGCATGTGTTGTTGTACATCCGGGGTTTCACTTGTGTTTTTTTTTCTTTTTTGTAGTTATTGCCCTTGACTTAGTAAAAATTTGCAATTATCTTTTTTTCTGTTTTGTAGTTATTGCCCTTGACTTAGTAAAAATTTGCAATTATCAACTTGTGTCACACATAGCTCAAAAAAGTATTTGACCTACCGTCATGAAACTTTACAGGAATGTTGATAAGCATGAGTAGTTGTGCACCTGGGTATTTTCGTGTGGATTAGTATTGTATTTGTAGAGTAATTGCCCTTCACTTAGTAAAAAATATGCAATTTTCAACATGTATCGCATATAGCTCAAAAAAGTATTTGACCTAGAGTCATGAAACTTCACAGGAATGTTGCTCAGCATGTTAAGATGTGCACCTGGGGTTTCGCTTGTGGATTTATTATGTTCTGTCGCAGTTATAACCCTTGACTTAGGAAAAATTTGCAACTTTCAACTTGTGTCGCACATAGTTCCAAACGTATTCATGAAACTTTACAGGAATGTTAATCAGTATGCGAAGGTTTGGCTTGTGATTTTAATTTTTTTGTCGTTCGTAGCACAAAAATTATTTAACTAAAGTCATGAAACTAAATAGGAATGTTGGTCAGCATGTGTAGTTGTGCATCTGGGTTACTGCTTATGGGTGTATCCAGTATTTCTAGAGTTGTAGCCCTTGACTTAGTAAAGAACCGTTTCATTATGTTGTATTATTTTTTGCTTGAGTTAGAATCAACCATCTTAACAAGTATAATAATGAACATCACTGTGAAGCTATGCACATGGGGTTTTGCATGTGGATTTTTTTCAGTTTTGATATAGTTATAACCCTTGATTTAGTATAAATTTTCAATTTTTAACTTGTTTATGCACAACTCAAAAAGTATTTGATTTGTAGGCCTGAAATATTACAAGAATGTTGGTGAGCAGGTGTACTTATGCACCTTTGGGTTTGCTTGTGAATATTTGTAAAGTTCTTGCCCTTAACTTCGTGAAAGATTTTTAGTTTAGTTTTCAACTTGTGGCTCATGTAGCCCAAAAAATATTAGACCTATAGTCATAAGATTGACAAAATAGTGGATTGCTGGGGACCCCATGTCCTATGGACACATTTCTAGTTATTTTTAAAGTTTTTCAGGAATACTTTCTTTGACAACTAATACGATGTGAATGATCAGAACCGCAAGTGCCTATGCATTTTTAACAGATTTTTCATTTATTTTGGCCCAGATATGGTCTTCAAAAAAGCGTTTTGGTCCATGTTTTTTACAGCCCATATATGGAAAAACCATGTAAACACTACAAATGTAATA